CTAAGGGTCAGGGCTTGTGCCAACTCTGATTACCTGGCAGGGCTGAGGTTTCTGAGGCTGCCTCTGGGCACAGCAGGAAATGGGCCTCAACGTGGGGCGGTGCGCGTGTTACATAGGGGCCATTCCTTGTCTTTTCACAAAGAAAATGTAAGGGTTGACGCTAAGACGAGGTAAAACACAAATTAACCACCTGACATCAATACTTTAGTGTTAGAGTTAGTTTAGATGACGGATGGAAGAGGGAAGTAAAGAAAGGGAAGAAGATTAATGACAATAAAAGCCCACAGGGAGGAGGATTATCAACAGAGCTTCCTACAGAAAAGGAATGTTATGAATTCCAAAGACAATAATCTCCCAATTCACAGTTTTACCTAGAATTTGCTCTGGCCTGTACCATTGGGGTATTGTTCATTTCCTATGCTTTAACCTCTGGTGTCAAGAGTTTGGACGAGGAACCCTGGGAAGAGAATAGGTACAGTTTATTTGTTTATTTATTTATTTATTTTTTAATCGAGGCAAGCTATACATATGTAATTTACCATCTTTACTATTTCTAAATGTACGGTTAAGTGGTAATAGATACATTTATATCCTTTTTTACCCCCTTCATCCTCTCCTCCCTACTCTCTTTCCTGGCCTCTGGTAACCACCATCCTACTCTTTATCTTCATGAGATCTACTTTTTTAGCTCCCACATATAAGTGAGAATATGTGATATGTGTCTTTCTGTGCCAGGCTTATTTCACTTAATATAACGACCTTCAGTTCCATCCATGTTGCTTCAAATGACAGAATTTGACTCTTTTTTGTGGCTGAATAATGTTTCAGTGTGTATATATCACATTCTCTTTATTCATCCATCTGTTGATGAGCACTTAGATTGATTCCATATTTTGGCTACTAGGAGTAGTGCTATAATAAACACGGAGTGCAGATAGCTCTTTGATACATTGATTTCCTTTCTTTTGTATATGTACCCTATAGTGGAATTGCTAGATAATATGGTAGTTCTGTTTTTAGTATTTTGAGGTACCTCAAGGAACAATTTTAAATAGTAGTTTTCAAGGGAACAAATTGCTTAAAATGTCTACTTGCTCAAGAAAAAACTACAAAGTTCTGTGTGCATGAGCAAATTTTTATCCCTTCTTATTCTTCCACTTGAATTTGAATTTGAAAAGAAGATCCCCAAATTAAAGATACATTTAAAAATAATAGCAGCAATTTTTAATTGCAACATTTCTTTGACATTTATGAATTTTTCTGTTTCTCTGTTTTGTATTTTTTCCTTAACTTTTTTCCTCCACTCCAATTTTTCATGAGATAACATTTAAATATAGTTACCACTTAAATTTGCTACAGTGTTCTTATACAAAAGTCTCACTGAGAAGTGAAAAGCTAAATTTCATGAATGTAAATTATTATCATAATAATAGTTAGGTCATTAAATATGAAATGTCTGATTTTGAATCAAAAGTTTAGTTTATTATATCTG